GAAATACTTTTTTTTAAAAAATAGCTGTTAGCCCCAAGCAACGGATCAGGCCGGTAGGTGTCTATAAAATTGGTCGCTTTTAAGGACAAGCAGGCTAACCCAGATTTCGGGGGTTTCCAGAAATCTTGACCTACACCAAAAGTGACAATTGCCCTACCTATAGGAGAACTTTGGTTCCATTGGTGTGTATATTTGTTTGGTTATAGAGAAAACTCTCCTTGTCGATTTTCTCAAAACAACATTTTTCGAGATAGCCCCCTTGTGCTTAAAAGCGACCATTTTGGAGAACTGCTCGCCTACTACGTGGCTGTTCATCTCAACTCCTAACTGTACTCCATTAACAAGTGTTTACTTCTTATTTCCCGGGCGCTTTCAGAGACTTTATATCCATATACTTTATAACACGGATAGCTCGAATTCCTCGGGACGGGCCTGGGTAGTTCGAGGGATAAGAAAAACAACAACCGGGGACTGCAGGCACAGTTCGACGGATGCGTGATTTCGAGTCTTCTGTGTTCGACCTATCCGTGTTATACTGTATCTAGACTGCTTAGATCTACCAACATTTCTCAGGCAACATAGCAGATCTGATAGGACAAATAACAGAAGCGCTGACACAACATGTCGTTTATTTAGAGATAAATGGTCAAGAGAAAATGGTAATGTCACTGTCACCACTATTCTCCCTGTCATTGTCACTCTCCACAAAGTGACACTGAGTATTTCCTTTTTAGTAGAACCAAACCAAAAACAGCAGTCCAATGATACATGTACAAAAACAACAACAATAAAGACAATAACAGCAGCAGCAGCAGCAGCAACACCAACAACAGAAATAATAACAATGATGATGACATCCATCGGCAAACCAAACGTAATGACAATGTAAACTAAATGAGTCGCGTTTACGTAAGAGTCATGTGCAGAATTTGTCAAGGGTATTCAATCTTCTATGCTACATTTAAACCTGCAAGCTCACACTTCTGTCTCAAAAATCAAACAATGAACATACAATAATTCATTTGGTAAACATTCATACCCTTATAAAGAAAACATTACTGCCTGGAGTGGTAGCTACATTCGTATTCACGGGTGTATATTTTAAAGCAGTTCTGGACGCTGTAAAGCCGTGTTCGAGCATGAATTGGTTGATGCTGGTAATTTCTTCTTGCGATTTGGCGAGCCACTCCATCTGGATGATTCTGACGTCGACCTCGTCAAAGAACTTGTGTGCGCATGACAGTGCCCTGGCTTCCGTCCTCTCGATGTCGATCTTGATGAAGACTTTTCGCAACTTGAGCAGGGGAATGAGATCGTCGATACAGATGGTGTTGACTGTTACTGTGTGGCTGTTGTCTTCCTTCATGCCGTACCTGGCAAAGTTTGTCTTAGATACGTTCAGGTGAGTCGCTCCGACGTTTTCTCTGTGGGCAGTGGAGGTGGGAAAAAAGGAGGGGAGGGGAAGGGAGGGGGGAGGAGGAGGGGGTTGTTTCATTGAAATGTATTCCTTGTCAAGAAAAAACAAGAAAAGGTAGATCTAAGTTGTTTCATTGAAATGTATTCCTTGTCAAGAAAAACAACAACAAGTAGACAAGGCAGGGGCGAGGGCTGATCTGTTTTGCCAGGTAGAGATGAGGCAAAAGATGAACAGATCCCCCACAGTGAAACATACTGGACAAATCTCCATACTCGAGGTGGCATCACTGAGTTCATATTGTTGGATCACTCAGGAAATATCTCGTTAAATAATTCTGAAACTGTGAATAATTCTGAAACTGTGAATAATTCCTCTGATAAGGTTTGAAGGACTATCACTGCAAGGTACACCCCACCCCTTTGAAAGGATAAGAGCAATAATCTATTCTCAGTGAATAAAGAAAGATAAGGAAAAAACTCTGTATTAATAAGTACAGAGAGGAAGGAGAATCTGTTTTTATGAGTACTAAATAAACAATGTGATAGATAAGACATCCATGGATAAAACAGTACCTAGACATGGATGACAGGCGCCGCATGGTCGCTTTTAAGGACAAGCAGGCTAACCCAGATTTCGGGGTTTCCAGAAATCTTGACCTACACCAAAATTGAGCATTGCCCTACCTATAGGAGAAGTTTGGTTTCATTGGTGTGTATATTTGTTTGGTTATAGAGAAAACTCTCCTTGTCTTTTAAAGAAACTGAACATGGGTCCAATTTACCTTCAATTTTTCTCAAAACAGCATTTTTCGAGACAGCCCCCTTGTGCTTAAAAGCGACCAAATAACTTTCTATTGATGTTCTGATACAAGACGCTGAGAGAGGAGCTGCAGTAAGACATGGACAACACTGGACGGAAGTACAACCTGATGAAGTTGGCCGTGAGCGATCGGTGGTCACTGAACAGAGCGTTGTTGACCAGCGTGACCTGTTCGCTGAGTCCACTGACCGCCAGTGAGTTCTGGATCTGGTGAATGTTGGCGGGCAACATCTCCACAGACAGGACTGTCTTCCCGCAGGCGGCAGCGAACATGGTGTACACCCCGATGTTGGCGCCAAAGTCGATGAACTGAAGGCTTGGGTCAGCCTGCAAGGAAAGATACATTGAGCTCTTGAAACAAACACACTGACACGTTAGGTTGGATCAGCCTGCAAGGAAAGATACATTGAGCTCTTGAAACAAACACACTGACACGTTAGGTTGGATCAGCCTGCAAGGAAAGATATACTGAGCTCTTGAAACTCTCAGACGTTAAACTTGGGTCAGACTACAAGGAAAGATACACTGGGCACTCGAAACACACTGATATGTACGTCAGGTTGAGTCTGACTGCACGGAAAGATACATTGCGCCCTTGAAACGTGCTGACGTGTCAGGCTTTTTCTCTCTGGAGTTTACTCTGTTAGGAAACCATTACTATACATAGTTTGTAAATAAAAACAAACTGGTGCTGATGCCAAATTTGGTGTAATTCAATGCAGTGTTTTGGAAATGGGAAATTCAACAGTTTTATATAGCCTGGGTTATTTTGTATATTTTACAAAGTATCCGTCTTACTGATGGGATACTGTATCACTGTAAGCCATGGTTAGTTTAAGAACAAGTTTTTAAAGAAAAAAAACCCCAACCACGTAAACCTGTATTTTCACGTGACGGTCGATGTCTTTTATTTGGGTTTAAATAGCTCACCTTCCATGCCCTGGATTTATAGCTTGACATTTTTTTACAAGCAAGTGGGGGGGGGGGGGGGGTTATTATTTCTTGTCTGCCTGAGATGTGTGGACGTACCCTCCATTCATGCGTAAGTTTGGAGTTTGAATCAGTTCCCTCTTAGGGAGTTATATTTTTCTAATCCATTGCTGCGGTGATACTCTACACGACCAAACCTGGGATGGCCATGGGAGGCAGGCTAGAAGCAGCTGAACCCATTCAGTAGATTATTGGAATTGAATCAAAGGGGGCTGATAATTATCACAATGCATGATCCTATAATTATTGACTTGGCACTGCATGATGCATCATTGTGTTATTCAAATAATTGTTGTGGTGGGTCTGGGGAAGGCATGGGTTTGTCAGAGACTTGTACTTGTAGGCTGAGCGCTCGATCGACCACACAGTGCCTATACATTCTGTGCTCTCCCACACGGGGAGGATGCGGGTGTGGCAAGGCCTTGTCAGAGACACGCTGGCTGGACATGGGACAGAGTCGAGGATATCAGGTGTTACTGTTTTGTACGGGTAACAAGGAAAGTAAAATTGTTCCCGCATCCGATCCGGACGATGGGGATTGCCTTGTTATTTAGACAACTTCCTGGGCCTTTGGCATATTGTGGTAGGATGGCCGTATAATACCCGTACCTTGTTTGAACCCGCCCCGCCC